TCAATTAATCAAATGTATCCCGAGACTTAAATGAAGGTTTTCCATCTCTGTTGCTGAATGTTATTTAGTACATATTATTAGGTTTTCTACTCTTAAAACTAGCAAACTCAGTGTTCTCTATTCTCTCACCTTCATTTAAATTCTTCTGAGCTTTTCTGTCTGTTTTATGGTGATTCAGTAAATATCAGAATCAATTTTACTGAAGTTTCATGCAGATACCTAGGTATGCAGAAACGCTCCTGTCCTGATTTTCTTTGTGAGGACTGTACTGTTTGCTTCTGTTTGATTGCTGCTATGGTCTGTTTAATGGCTGAGTCTGTGCAGCAAGTGGGAAAATTGCCTCTTACTCTTCCTTTGTCTGCTGCACTCTGGGCTGGTAAAACGACGCTGGAGAAAGACAGGAAACCCTCATCATCCCTAAGCAGATGGGAGCACTCAGAAACTATGGAGTGCTGGATGAAAAACGGAGTTTGCGCAGCAAGAGCTGAGACTGGAGCAGTAAATAACACATGTGACCAGGCTGCAGAGGGGACTAGGAAAATGCATGTGCGTGTCAGAGCTTTTTGCAATTGAGGAAACCACTGAAAGCTGATGAACTAAAATTTAGCTGAGCTGAAGGAAAGACCTGCCAAGAAAGGGCAAAGAGAGCACAGCTGACTGATTCTAAGTCTCTTCTACCTTAATACTGTTAAGTATGTCTTATTAATACTTAAGAGTTTTGAATCCCTTTTACTGGTTGCAATGTATCTATCTTCAAAGCCAGTCCACCTCAAGGCCTTCTTGAGTTTTCACTGCTTTGCAACCTGGAACTTGAGATTTTATCGTTTAGCTTGAGTTACTCACATTTTTCTGCAGCACATGTACTGTTTTTTGCTGGGATGAAGTTAATTTTCTTCATATTAATTTGTATTACGGTGTGTTCTGAATTTGGTATGAAAACGGTAGTTGCTGAGCACTGCTTACACATGGTCAGGTCCTTCCCTGCTTCTCAAGCTATCTCTGCATCAAACAGACTGGGGATGCACGAGAGTCTGAGATGTGATACAGCCAGGACAGCTGACTCCAACTGACCAAAGGAATATTCTGTGCTACGTAACATGATGATCATTAATAAAAAGTGGGGGAAAAAGAAGCAGGGGAGTTTGCTCTGGGGCTGCAGTTGCTCGGGCAGGCTGGGCATTGTTTGGATAATGGTGAGCAGTTCTGTTTTGCATCACTTGTTTTTATTTTTTCTTGGCTTTGTTGCTGCAATGTGTTGGGTTTTTTTCTGAGCTTTTTTCAAACTTATGAAGCTGTCTTTATTTTTACCTACAGGTTTTCCAACTTTTGCCCTTCTAATTCTCTTCCCCAATTCAGTTTAGGGGCAATGAGTCAGCAGCTATGTGGTACTTAGTTGCATATTAGGGTTTAACAAAACACAGGAGTATAATGTCAGTGATAAATTATCATGTAATTCCTGAAGTGCTTAGGTATGAAACGTCTGTGATGGCTGATACATGGTGTGGTTGTTGAGTGACTCATTTATAGCATTCAACTGTGAGAAGCTTTTCTTGGCCCAGAAAAGTATTTGTATTGTTTGTTTCATTTATTCTGTTTGAGTGAATTCAAGTTCTAGGATGGTTTTTGGGGTACGAAATGTTTCTAATAGAGTTTGAGTCTTAGTCTGTTGGAAAAGATTTGCTTTACCAGGCCATAACTCAGCTGATGGAGGTTGCTCTATTGTAAAGTATTGATGCCTTGGGATAATGTTTTAGCAACGTCAGTGAAACAGAGGCAGTGGGAATTCAGCTCTGTGAGTCACTAGCAGCATTTAATATTCATACTTGCATAATGTAGGAACAGGGCTATCACTCATGAAATCAGCTGTCCAAATGAAGCAATTAAGTGATGAGCTGTTAACTTAAGGAGGGCTGGAGCTCTTTTTGGTCACTGTTTAAAAGGCACTCTTTTCAAGAGCAAGTGAAGATCATCAGGGTAATAATTTGAAACTATTTAGGGAGCATGTGATGAAATTAAATTTTTGATCCTATTCATCTCTTTTTTTCCCCTCCTCTTCCTTTTTTCTCTTTCCATCCACATTTTCTCACAAAAAAGAATGGTTTTTCTATCCTGGATTCGTTCTAAAGAGTCTTGAGATGTCACAGACTGAACACCCAGACATTTGCTACCAGATGCTGTAGAATGAGTAGGGGATGAAAATTTTAAGTGAATCAAGACAGTTTACTCATTTTTAGATCAGCATCTCCTTTAATGTTACCATCCCTGTGCAGACATTGCCAAGTTATTCAACATTGCTTATGGGTAACAAATATTTGATAGTACAGTTAAAGAAAGCTCAGCATTACTTGAATTCAACTTTTGCTGATTTTAGGATAAGACTAAATATAAATAATGAAAAGGAGAGGTTATAAGTTTTATGTGTACGTATGTACGTAATTCTAGTATGTTGAACAAGAAGTACTTTGTGAAGGACTTCATGGAAGGTGATTTTTTTTCCAATGATAGATAAAAGTAACATTCGCTAAGGTTTTTGTATGATGAAATTTTCTGTTTCTCAAAGAACTTCAGGAAGCAGAATGGTAACAGCATGCACAGGAGGAGGTATGTCTGAGGGGTGGCCTGTGGAGGCTCCCATGGAAGCCAGGAAAGTTGAGAAGTGAGAAACATGGAGCTTCTAAGGGGGAAAACTGCTCTTCGGTGACACGCACTCCATTGATTGTTTCCTACACAGTTCCTTTCTCCTCACACTTTTGCTCTGCTCCAACCTGGGTCCTCTGCTTCAGCTACAGTCCTTCACACAGGAGTGGGTTTCCTGGTCTCTGTCAGAGCCATAGTCCCTGTCAGGAGCGTCCACACCACTCTGTTTCTTGCTCTGCGTGGGGTCCTCATGTTGAGGAGAGCAGCATGTAGGAACTGCTTGCCTAGGGAACCAGGAAAGTAATGCGTAATGGATTGTCCTGAAGGATGGCCAGAGATACCATGTCCAGGACCTTGAGAAAATCCAAGGAGGATTTTCTCTATCCACATCCAGACAGGATGTGCTGTTTCAGTAGTTCTGGCCTAAAAGTTCTGACAAGTACACGTGAGTTTTGGAGAATTGGAGTTTTGGAGAATTTGGAGTTTTGGAGTAGGGCACTAAAATCTTCCTTCCAAAACGACGTGAAAGTTAAATGCAAAAATGCTTGTTAGATTTTTTTTTCTCTCATTGCACTGATTGTTTTGAAGAAAGAGCAGGAACGCCTCCAAATTGTTGATCAGCATTGCCTAATGTCATGGTTCTATGTTTTTTGGGTTTCAGTATTCCACATCAAGACATCATGGAGTGTACGGGGCATAGAACCATGACACCTATACACATATGAACTCGTAGGTTTTCAGAAATTGTGTTCAGAATGTGAATAAAAGTAACAGAACTGTAAAGGAATTGTTCTCTTCTGGGAAGTAAAAACAGATGTGTAGCACAGGTAGACGTGAGCTCTGGCATCAAGACTGCTATCAGTGTCAGTGCTATGTCATTTTTATGTTTTGCAGATGGGCAAATTATATTGACTTAATAACATGTAGCTACATTCCGGGAAGAATTTGAGTGTGATGTGTATTGGGACTGAGGTTTGTAGTCCTCACGCTCTGGTCATATAGTTTCTGCATAACCAGTGGCTGCTTCTCATCACTGAAAGTGCATCTGAAATGGATACAAGTATACCTAGTGGCTTCTGTTTCTATTCGTTGTTGCTTTAAAATTTTTGTTTCTGCTTAAAATAAATGAAAAATAAATGGATTGCTTTGGCTGATGAGAAAACATCTGTACTGCTAGCACCTTTGTTGGCAGTTGCATTGATAGTGTATAAACTGCAGCTTAATGCCTGGAAGTTATTCTTCCTCATTAGGTGAAAGAAGAATTGGCCCAGCTGATGTTTGCCTGGGCTTCTGTCTGATAACTCAGCAGAAGCCCTTTGAAAACAGGCCTCAGTAATCTTTTTCAACTTATGTTTGTGCATTCCCATTTTTCTTATTTTTTTAATGCTACTGTTACAAATAATAGAAAATGTCCAAATGACAAAATAAGCTATTGGGTTGTTTTGAGGTTATTTGAAGAAACAAGTGTGGAATAAAATTTGATGTAATAAGGTCTTTTACACTAATAGATGGCATCTTCTTTCAGCACTTTACACCATAGCAAGTCTCCTTTCTCTAGTTTTATTTCTGTGAAGTGCAATATTTCAGAATAGAATCTTTTTCTTTAGTCTCATGATTGTAACTTGCTTTAAAAATAAATAAAAATAAAAAGCTCAACACAACAAACACAACCAGCAGCATGCAACTCAAAAAAAACACTTGGTACAGTCTTCAGTAAAGTTCATTCTGATCTTCCTATGATGATCATCCTTGCTATGGATACTTGACTTTGCAATCTTGTAAGCAGTAACGTAATACAGGTAAAATCTTTAATGAGCCTTTACCAGAAGGGCAGAAAAACCTCTGTGTGGAATAAATGTGTGCACAAAGGGAGTTAGTGCAGAATAAGTTACTGCATTTTTGATTCTCACCCTCACTTTTGCTTCACCAAATTCCCTCTGTAGACAGGCTTAAGGGAGGGATATTTTTTTAAGGATGTAATTCAATTTTCAGAGGGGAATGGAATTTAACAGCACAACTGTCATTACAGTTTGTGAGCTGCATGTAAAGACAGCGTTCTATGGCTTAAATTTTTAATGCAGCTGTGTTTAAAATAAATGTTTTATGTTCTGCTGCAACATCAGTTTTAGGTCATGTGAAACTAAGCTAGTTTACCTTCTCTTTAGACATATTCCTAGCTATTGTTAAATAGAGCATCTTTTAAGCTGCATCATGTGACCAAATGTCTACTAAATACACCATTTGTTGTAACGTTATTTCTTCAGGCTGCTTTCCAGAAAAGAGAAGTATTTCTTACATGAGCCTATGTGTACAGCAAGCATCCTGTTTTCACCCATTTTTTCATCCTTATTTTTTTCCATCAGAAAGGAGAGCCAAACTGCAGTGCTCTTTCTCCAGAAACCACAGAGCAGCTGACCTTTGAGATTCCTCTGAACGATTCTGGCTCTGCTGGACTTGGTGTGAGCTTAAAAGGCAACAAATCTCGGGAGACTGGAGCTGACCTTGGGATTTTCATCAAATCTGTTATTCACGGCGGTGCTGCTTTTAAGGTATGGAGTAAGTAGATCATGCTGTGGTTGCATTAGATTTTTGACAGTTGGTGTTTGGTCCCAAATCTGTCTTGGTAAATCTTCTGTGGATGAGGAACTTCTTGCCACTCACTCCTCTAGTGAATCTGTCAGTGGAAGCAGACCCTGTGGGGCATTTGGATACTGAAGGGATGGCAGGGGAGGAAGATTGATGGTGTGTGGATGGGAGGAGAGGCTGTCTCCATTACTCCCTGTAGCTCACAGAAAGAAGTGGGAAAGTCTGCTGTGCTGTTAGACCTGGAGACAGAGAAGTTATCAGCCAATCTACTCTGCTTTTGGTCTTCCCAAACTAATATAGGCAGACCCATAAAACAATTACAATTTACGAAAAAATATGAACTGGCAATTCTATGAGGTTAAGAATTATGTATTTATAAAATATCTAAACTATTGTTGTCAGCATGGCTTATCTCAGCCTGGCATTAACTGTGCAGAAGTTATCAATTGTTCCTCAAGTGGACTGAGTTGGTATGGGACAGTATTATGAATCCCTCTTAAAGTTGTACTAGAGCTACTGTATGTTTTTAATTAAGAAGGATTGGATTACTTTCTAAGCTTTAGGAAATGTGATAATTTTTTTCCAGATAAAACTTGAAAAAAGTATCTTTCTTGAATTCTTTTAAGAAAATCTTAACTTGAAAGCATAGTACCTGTAACTATTGTGTGTGGATCCATAATGTAACTTTTTTTGTCGTTACATCAGTAATTCCTTGCAGTTTTCCTTTCTGTAAAAATATACCTTTTAATTCAGTTTGTCAATTTGTTCACAGGCTGTAGCCTCCTGAGTAAGACAGTTCACAGCATAATAACCTATTTATGATGTTTGGTAAATAGTAATCATCAAGGCTTTTGCTCTGATATGAATGTTTCCGGCTCCTATTAGTTACCTGTCCTAGTCCCATAGATATTTCACAGCTTGGATCTTTAGAAAAGCAACAGCTTGATACATGCAGTACAGAATTCTGCCTGTGATTAATTCCAGGGCTAAGTGACAAGTGAATAAAATAATCTCCTTGGTGTATATCAGATCTGAGTTAAAGTGTGATTGGCAAATTAGAGGTGCATAAACTCATGCATGTCTGCCACAGAGTACAGCTTATTTTACTGTGAAGATGAAACTGCTGTCCTTGCTTTCCCACCTCCGTGTTCCCTGAATAATTATCCACATCAATTGCAATGCCAGTATATGGCACCAGAAGTGAATTCATTGTTTTGACTAGCAAGGCTTGTGGACTGATGTCCCAGGAGCATCAGTGGGCATACTTCCTGACCAGCATTGCCATGTCAGAGATGCATAAGCTAACTATTTTGAGGTCTTTCTGTTTACCACATTCTGTTTTCCCAACTGTTAGTCCAGAGCAGTTAATTTTGGCTTTGAGAGATCTTGCAGACTAATAAAGCAGGGCTTCCTTACCCACACCTAGCTAAATGTGCACCTGGCACGACTGGACTCCTTGGCTGGGATGTTATTTTGTCCCACAATACGCTGTGCTTCTGTGACTCCGCCTCTGTACTCCCTCATACTTTCCACCAACTGCAACTGTGTATTGATAGATGAGTGTGGGTTACAAAGCAAATGAGAGCATAGCTGGGGCTCTGACTTTAGTCAGAGCTGCTTGAAGAACATCCTTTCCGATGTGTTTTATACAAGTACTCAGAGAGTGCAGTCATTTGGGAAGTATCTTAAGACGTGGTTTACTGTTGCACATAAACAGAAAACAGCTGTCTTTCTCCTGTCTAAGAACCTTTATATCGAGCAAAACAAAATCAGTGGGTATTAACAATTAATACAATGTCTTGTATCAAGTTAAAAAAAAAAACAACTGCACATTTGTGTATAGATATTTAAATATGTTCTTATTGTCCTTCTTTTAAAAGAAAAGCAACATGTTTTTAAACATAAAGCCTTTCCTTCCAGCTGGTAGTTGTCCAGAGCATCTTTCCATGCTATTCATTGTAATTGTCTCTGAAATGAAGTATTACAGATTTAGGCATGTGCATTTGCAATTCAGTGTATGAAGTTTTCTTGGGAAAGTGTAACATGGGGAAATTGTAATGCCTGCTGTGATGAGAGTTCTCTCACTGTTTCTTAACAGGCGTCTGCATTTAGAGCTTAAAAGGTGCTCTGATTTTTGATGACGTGATTTTTGTTAGGTGCTAATACAGTGGTACTGGAGATGGTTGGGGAGGAGCAGCTTTGTCCATACAGCCAACACTTCTTCTCAGAAGATGGTGTAATATGGAAATGATGAACACATTTGCTTCATTGCTGAAGTAAATGTTCAGTCCCTCTAATGCTATATAAAGATTTTCAATACATTTAATGCCTTTCTCCAGTGTACTGGAGAAATAACTGAAGAGTTATTTGTAAGACGTAGTCAGTTCTGAATGGTTACTTTTATCAGATTGAACAGAAATTCTGAGGAAAGGCCACCATTATTTTAGTGTGTGGTTTTGTTGTTGCTTTGAAATGCTGGTACACAAATCTAGCTCCGTTGTATTAGTAGCACTGCAAAGCTTAGTAAAAGGATTCGTGAAGAATGTTTGGGGTTTTTTTGTTTGTTTTGTTCTTGTTTTGATGCTAGGTAAAGATTTTTAAAAAATACTAAACCTTTTTGCTGCTAAACCCAATAAAGTAAAAAATTCCTAATTATTCCTAGCTAATCTTTTAATATCATATCCTGCAGGATTAAAACTTCACTTTTGCTGATTGATTTGTTGGGTCCCTTTTTAAGCTCCTCTTGTAATTTTTAAAGTGTCTGTTTTACTTCTACTCTAAGAAAGAGGCTACTTGATATTTGTAAGTATGCAGAATCTGTTATGCGAGGAAATATTTGACTGAGTTTGAATACATCATCTTTCCCCACAACTTCTGGGAATTTCAGCCTTGTTCATCTTGAGACCCCTTGGCTTTTCCCTTGAGGTGAACTTGTGATTATCAGGTATTTGCTGTCTGCTGCAGCTGTAATGCAGCAGAACCATTATTAGAAATGATGGAATACTTTCCATATGCCTGTTCGTTCAAATCAAACATGGTATAGCTTGAACTTTCTAGGGGCTTCCGAGTGCTATTGCAGTAAATAGCTTGTTGTGTGCAGTGGATGGTGAATTGGATTATTCCATTGAAGGCTACCAAGGAATTCCTTCTGAGATAAGTGACACTGATGTACTAAGGGAAATAACTAGGTGAGCTTTGATTAAATACATAACTCTACAAGGAATCTGGCTTTGTCTCTAAGCTGTACTGTAAAAACAAAGTCTTGTCTCTGAATGTGGTAGTCATACTAGGTTTTACTCGCTGCGACTCTCTACACAAACCCCACGTACTGAATAAACTAGGGAACAGTACCTTCACTCTTTATTGGGGTAGTTCAATTGCAGTTTTGGAGATGGCATTTGAAAGCTGTTTTGCTGAAATGCCAAATATTTTTCTACTCAGAAGCTGCAAAGAAGCCTACCTTTCTGAGATGAAAGAAAAAAATGTGTTAAAACAACATCTAGTTTGTTTTGAGCCAAACAGATTGTCTTGTGGTTCAGTCTTTTAAACCAGATCATTACACCGGTGATGTGAAAACCTGTTTGAAAACCTGCTTAAACACTGAGATTTTTAGTCTTTACACGGCAAGAAAGTTTCTCTATGAAGCACCTTCTACCTGAGCATATGTGAAAACATTGTTCAACTGACTTTCAGTCCTGCCTTGTACAGTGTTTTTTCTGATCATAAAAGTTGAGTTTTGCATTGAATGGAGCGTATTACAGAATGGGAAGAAGCGAGATGCATCAAAAGTTATTTAAAAACTGACGTGATTAAAATGTAAAGAAATAAATATGACGTAAGATATTAAAAAAAACCAGCAGGCTATTTCAGAGGTTTCTGAGGCAACCATGGTTCATTTAAAAATACGCATTGTGTTCTGTAAAGTTGCATAGTCAGGAAATGTAGTCGTGACATGCATTTGTATTCAGTTTATTAAGAAGCTTTAACACATATTTATATGTGGGTGCTTATCCACAGAAAAGAAAAAAAAGTGATCCAGGAGCCCATGGGACCTTAGCAGGAGGACATTAGGACCTGTGAAGTTTACAGTCTTAAAGCAACTCACAAAAACTAAAATCTCCTTTCTTCTAACCCCTGTTGCCATGAATGACTCCATTCATTTCAGCAAATTTTGATAGAACACAAAGGAATTGCAACATGTGCAAGTAATAAAACTTCCTGTTCAATAATGTTAACTCTTCTCTCCCTAAGCTTTACCGTATGTGATGGCATCATTTTGAATGTAGAGAAAAGGTGGGGTTAACCTACTGACTTTGGGTATATGTGATTTTATATTGGCATGAAACATTCAAGAGAGGTGGGAGAGTTTTCTGTATCCTTTCCAAATGGTACTGCTGTTTCCTATTCTTCCTATTCTTCATTCCTCCACTCTTCCCGGAAAAGCTTTTCATCCTCCGTCATCTCATCTTTTAGTTCTATTTCCATCTTTTTGGGATGCTGATTTGTGCTGTTCTTCAGTTCTGTGACACCTCTTTCTATTCATGCTCTGCTGTGGTAATGTTAATGGTGCCAAGTTAAATAAATAAATAAATAAATAAAAAATCACATAAGCAAGCTAGTTTTTTTCACAAGTATTGTAAGTGACTTCAGCACAAATGCCTGAGCCTTGGCAGCAATAGCATAATATTTAATTGAACATCTTAGTGGTAGAAAAAATAAAAATTGAAAAGTATATATATTTTGGATTACTCAAACGCATGAAATATGTAAACAGTTCAGATGAGTGCCTTATGCAGAGTATGTAATGTCTGTGACTGAATCAGATTCATTTTAACCAATATGTTTTTCTATGGAAGTTCTCCTAAGCTTTCTTCACTGCCCTTCTATTGTGGATCTCTTTAGTCTTTCCATTCCCTTTGAGGTCTGATGCCAACCTCATAATTGTGAAGTTCACAAGCTTTTAAAGAAACTCCTGTAACATTCCTTGTTTGCTTGTTAAAGAGAAAAGTCACAGCACATGCTTTTATGAAAAGAAACAAATCTCAGATTATGCCAACAATACCAATAGGACTCTAAATCACAGAATAGCAGTGTCCACAATTTTATTACGCCCAGAACTGTCAGTTAACCTTGGCAATGAAACAGAACAACTTTCTTCAAAGCATAGGCTACTTGGTTATGTCTCAACTGCAATTTTGTCATTGACAGCAGGTTTGGATGTTAAATACATGAACAGTGCTAATTAAAATATGGTTGCTTAATTCTTAATGACCGTTCTGAACTGGCAACACTGCGCCATATGGCGACGTGGTAATTGTGACTAGTGGGACTGTAAGACAAAGTTTTGGAAGTATCTTTTTCTTACCGTGCCCTAGTAATGAATAACAATGCATGTAAAATACATTGCAGTACTGCTTCACAATTGTGCTGCAGATACTAACAGCCATAATATGGATGCTTTTAATTAACCAAGAACTCCTTTTCTTGTTTTCCTTTTTGCGGGTGTGGAGAGGCTGTTTCAAAATAATTTGCATGTGCAAGAAAAGCAGCAACATGTAATTAACACAGAATTACGTGCACCTTATGAACTACTCTCAAAATGTAGAAAGGGGAACGAGAAATTGGTCAGTTAGTGAACATGAAGATTTTTCTTTTTAAAGATGAGGTACTGTGCAATCTCTTGTTTCTTACGGTAACAGCTCTGCCTATGTCAACAACATAGAACCATGACAGCCTAATACTTGTTATTTGTTTGTTTATTGCAGGATGGCCGTTTGCGAGTAAATGATCAACTTGTTGCAGTAAACGGGGAGTCGCTTCTGGGCAAATCAAATCATGAGGCTATGGAGACACTGAGGCGTTCCATGTCCATGGAGGGGAACATTCGTGGCAGGATCCAGCTAGTAATTCTACGGAGACTGGAGGCACAAACAGAGGTAAAGCGATAAATGTATTTATTAGAAGAATGGCCTTCTAGTTTTAGTGTTTCTGTGTAGAGGAGATGATAGCCAGACTCATGACTGCTGAGAGCTTATCCTGGCAGACTGAATTCCTGACTTCCTAGAAACATGCATTGTTTCTGGTTGACATCTCCTGAGCTTGCTCTTCCTTTTGAGGCTATGCTAAAGTTTCCTCTTAGTTTAAACAGAACAGTTTGCTGTTCTGATAAGTTTTAAAACAGAAGTAAATGTCCTCCTGAGACAGATGAGTGGGAATTAATGTGCTGTAGTTTCGACTGTCTGTTACTTCCTCAGAGGCAACAGTTGAGATAGTTTGTTTGAATTCTTCTGTTTTTGTTATCACGATCAATGTCCTTAATGTGACTTGAATTTTACTTCACTCTTGCTTTTTTGTTTTTTGTTACTTTCATTCACTCCATATTCTTGTGTTTTTAATTGCACTTCTCTTTTTCTTTCTCACGTGTGTGCACATAAACGTGCTCTTTCTCCATCTTTTTTATACATGAATAGATGTGCATAATGGCTGCCCTAACTGCTCATCCTAGTTATAGTTCTAACCCTTGAATAAACATTTTCAGAGTTTTGACATCTGTTCCTTAAAATAAAAGTATATACTAATTGAATTGTGATATAAAGTGTGAAAATTCCACTACCGAATTCCAAGAGATGATTTTAAATTGTTTATTAGATAAATATATCTGAAACATTTTTATATATTCAGAACAATCCCATTTTAAGTGTATTTGCATAGAATGTAACAGGGGAAGGCCCAGAGACTTGCAGCCACGAATAACTCATAAAGCTTTCCTTGTAGGAGATGTATTTGATTTACTACCATCATTGATTAAGAATTCTGTTTAGAAGAATATTACTTGCTGAACATCATGCTCTTTGTTGGGAGAATACTTTGCATAGGAGTCTGTCAGTCTTGTTAGGAAAATATGAAAAACATTCATCTGTAATGCTGACATATTTTACAGGAAAGCACATTTTTACTTTCCAGCATTTTGTATATAGCTGCATGTACAAATGCTTGTTTTATTTATTGTGCATTTCTGTAACATAAGATAGCTCATCTTCTAATACAGCACACTCTTGCAAGTTTTCTTCATTTAGCAATAGTCAAATTTTTGGGGAAAAAAAAAAAAATCAAACAAGCTCAAAAGCTGTAATGCTCTCCAAACAAACATCATATTGACCTAATAAAAATGAGGCTGCTTTTTATAGATAAGTGTATAGTTCTGTATATTATCCAGATGTATGAAAAAAGTAAATCATCTTGACTCGTGCCCTTTGGAGGATGCGTGATGAGGTCTTGATTGAATCAAATTCATTTTAGACAGAAATTAATTTTTATGGGTTAGTCTTTAGGTTCAATTGTAATTCCATTTGAGTCTGGAGACCATAGCAGAAATTGGTTGTTGCCCATTCTTTTCTTTCACCAAAACAGCTCCCAAAGTAGTGCATCTCAGCTTGGTAGAAGCAGAATACATTTAGAAATGCATTACTGTTTTTATTGGTCAGGACACTAATGGAGGTCTTCCATGACAGCTATGTTTTATAAGCTGAATGCTCTAACTAGGCTGGCTGCTGATCAGTTGTGGGGATATTGATTGTGTCGTTTATCAAAGAGCTAGAAAAGCAGATTTGTTGTTGTTAATTTATCCTTATCCTACTGGGTACACTCTTGACTGATGCAAGGCTTAGTTTAGCTAGTAGTACTCATGAGAAAGTAGTAATTGTGGGCTTTGCTAAATGAGGAATCTTACATAAAATAAAGAATTTCCAGTAAGGAAAAGAACTGTAATTGTTAGTGTGCTGTGTTTGGCTGTGCTTCTGTACAAAGGCTCAAAATAACCTTTTCCAAGGACTCACGTGCATTGACGAGGGGAGAATGTTGTGTGTGCTGCCTCTGCACTGAGACTACATTTGTAGCCATGTTTTCACCACAAGCCATCTATGTTGGCTCGTGTTCTGTGCTGAGGTTCATATTTTGCCACTTAAAAAAAAAAAAAAAAAAGTTATCCAAGAGCTTGAAAGGCAAATTACAAGTGATTTAACACACACTCCTTTCTCATGCACTGGTTTGGCACTTTGCTGGTTTTCACTTGCCAATGCAGTGGGCATCTTGTATGGTTGTACCAATAAATGATAGGAGTTAGATACACGCATTTCTTCTGTGGGTACAACTATGTAGTTAAAGGAATTATATATTTAGTGTAAGATTTACTGGAATAATGTACATGCAGTTCAAAAATAGATGCCAATTGGGTGCCCTTATGAAACAACAGGTACAGGAAAACTATAAAGGTCATTCTGAAAACTATCCATAATATTCTTCTGTGTGGGTTTTCTGTTTTCCCTGAATAACGAGTACAGAAACGTCTTTCTGAATCCATCCCAGTTTTACAAACTGTGATTTTTTTTTTTCTTCTTCTTTTGAACAACTGCTCAGGAGAATAAATTAGGCGATATGGGGGTGGGGAGTGCCGCAAAAGAAAAGCTGACTAGAGGTGTGACAGGAGTTTGTTTAGCTGCTAGCCAGAAGACCTGCGCTTGGGAGTTTGGTGTAACTCCTTACTTGCAAAACTGCTCTAGTGTGTGATCATCAGAACATATGTACTCAGTCTCTGAGAGAAGGATACCAGCTGGCTGGCAGAAAAATACCATTGGCATTGCCTGTGTTCTTGTGTTGACAATGTCACAAGCTGCCCTCCCAGATGGAGAATTTGAATGAAGCCAGTTGTGGGTCATAAAGAAAACGCTCCTCATTTTTTGTGCATCGCACAATGATTGTTAGTGCCGAGATACTGTCTTATTTCATGATCAGCAGCAACAGTCGTTCTGAAGATGTCTTTTACAGTGTAAGCAGTGCACATTACATTACACTGTTCCTGCACTGCCCGTAGTGATGACAGGGCTTCTGTACTGCAGAATATTTAATTTTTTTATACAATGTGTGGTTCTGTTTTTTTCCTTAGGATCGCTTGGACCAGGGTGTCTATCAGAAATCAGCATGTGATGGCAGTCATAACTTTGCAGCTATTTCCCGACGCAATGGTGCCGTTCTTCAGCAATTTGTAAACTGTGGCCCTCAGGAAAGAATACAAGGTAGTCTTAGATATCTTTCTGTGTGCTGAAATAAAGTGCTTTTTATCTTTTTTCTTTCTCTTGAAATCCAGAGCCACTAGAAAAGCATTTAATTAGAGTAAGTGCATACTATGTTACTTTGAGGCATGAAGATACAGAGAGGCTGGGAGAGCTGACTCAGAAGTTGTGAATTAGATTCCTGGCACAATTTCCAGTTTAAGTAACAGTTTCTAGCTCACTGCCCCAACACGTAAGGTTGGTTAAAAAACAAATGATGAGTGCAAAATATATGTTGTCAAAATGTTTATTTTCTATATAACTTTAATGAGTTCAAAGATTTTTTTATTGGTTAGATTTATGTCCCATGTTATTATCAATTAAATGAATTTATACGGAAGTGTAATATTCATAAACTATGCTTGCTTGTTTTTAGCTAAAAGGAAAAAATTGTTCAAAGATTAGAACCTTTAAACCCCCAACTTACTTACAATTAAGTTGTTTAAAAAAATGTGCAGAGAAGATACGCATGTATGAGTATAAGCAAACGTACCAGTAGGAGCTTTGAAGACTGCATACTTTTCCTGTTATCTTTCATTTCTGATTACTTTCTGTATATCTGTCTGATTTGTACCTGACTCAAAAAGATATTAGATAGGTGAGAAATTTGAGTATTTGAGGTGATCTTGATGCTTTTAAAAATACTCTTGTCCTTCAAACCAAACACATGCTTCATGGTTAAATCTATGATAGGGGAAAATAGATTTCTTTGTAGTTGAGTTATGCCTGATTTTTCTCAGTAAACTACAGTGGAACCTGTGTGGTCTGCAAAAAAGTAATCTTTTTGCAGTAGTAAGAAAGACTACAATGACTGCTGGGAGGGACCTTTTAATCTGAACTGTACAGCTTATGAGAAATTCCCAGGTAATCCAGGGGTAAATCATTTTGTGTCAGTGTTTTGAAACTGTGACTCCAGGCAAAGGGTGGCAGATGTAGACTCGAGCATTGTAAAATCTCAGATCTTTTGGTTTAGCTCTACATTGTGTTTCTGTTGTTGGCGTTCATACTGATTCTGTAGTCAGAAAAAGGGTCATCCTTAGAGCTAGCCTGTCCTGTAGAGTTAGAGTGGATGCTCTGCCGTGCTCCTGAGGGCTATCATCAGGAAAGGCTTAGCATGGTTGGGGCTTCTCAAGGGACAGTAAATGACAAAGGCTCTTCTAGCACTGCTGGGAACCTACTGGAAATATAATTTTATTGAGATTTCTGTAAAAGATTTGGCATGCAATGGGTAAATTTTATGTGGTCTTGATGAAGAACCACACAGGCTCGTTCAGCTGAAAGTATGTCTGAAATTGGAGTCTAATCTGAAATTTTTCAGGTGAAAGAGACTTTGGTTCTACAGTAATCCTGTGTATTGTAGAAATATTTTTCTGACTGTGAAACCATAGTATTAATTACTGGAGAGCTAATCTTTCTGCTTTCCATGTCAGCCTGTTACTTGTTTCCAGTCACTGGTTCAAAAACGTTATATACTTTGTTTCCTATGTAAGTCCCTGAAGACAAGCGTAAAGGCAAAGTACTGCCAATATGCCCAACCTCATTTAACTCCGTTAGGAACTTTAGGCAGTCTGTTAAAGGAATGAGTCACAGGCAGGGTATGCTTCTTATGACAGGCAAGAACAGCTCCCAGTTGTACATTGTTATGATGTGCCATCCAGATCTTGGATGTGAACGTCCAGCTGGTACAATATCACATGCAAATAGTAATGAAAGATAGAAGCGATTTTTAAAGTCATTCTGGATCTAATGCAACGATTTAATGACATGAGCTGTATTAGGTTTAATAAAATGTCACTTTCTCAATTAATGTTTTCCAATAAGTTATTTCTAATATCATTCACTGCTCCTACCAATAAAACTCTTCTAAAAGCTCAGCAAAAATACACTGAAGCTTGGCTTGCTAATACTGTTGTCTGTTTTAAAAGCCTTTTATTATACATGAGCAAGAAAAACTAGTGTCTAGGGAAAAGTAGTTATAGCCAAAACATTACATTTTTTTCTTGCCTGTGGATATTTAAATAAAGGGGGAGGGAATACTGATCCAATATTGAATTGCCAGTGTTTGTTCTGTTTTTTTTGCATGAATAATACTTGCTGCCTTCAGGTCCTCACTTCTTTTGCTGCCAAGCTGTTGCACAGATTCACTGGCTTTTTTTAGAAAAACCTCTTTGAGAAACAATACTTCAGTGCCAGCAGCTTTACATTTCTGGTGCTGAAAGATTACTGGAATGTGTTTCATTAGAGATTCTTACATATTTCTTATCACTCTTTATTATACACGGTTATAAGGAAGTGCCATCATCTCTCTGTGTAAGTAGTAGAATAATCATAAAATACCTCTGCTGCCACTGATGGCTGAGTCTGAGCTTGTACAAGCATCTGTGTTTTCATAATGCCACGATAGAAAAATCAAGAAGTTATGTTTTATAAATAGTGTTTAGCTTTTGCACGTAAACATTGTGTGCATCTTACAAAGTAACTCAAATCTGAGGGATACTCTGAAAATATTGCTTCCTATGTTATTATGTTGGCCCATGACATCAGAGGTGATATGGTAGCTACTGCTGAACCTTCCCACCAGTATCCCATTACACATTGTTTCCATGTGACAGTTGTCAGCAGACAGTCTGACAGAAGGGTGTCTGACATGGAAGTGTGTATGAAGCAAAGGTGTGTCACTGAACTCCTTCATGTGGAAAGAATGGCACCCACTGACATTCATTAATATTTGTTAATCGTTTGTGGAAGCCAGACAGAGGATATGAGCACACTGAAAGCTGGACTGTGTGGGCAGCATTTTGCTAGTAGGAATACCATCATAGGAGCTGCGAAACAGTGCGTCACCTCCTCTGGTGCAGATGTCTGTGAGCACAGCATGCAGGCTCCTGTTTATTGGTGAAAACACACAGCTGATTGTGTTGAATAAATCCTGAGCCTCCAGCTTTCATAAGCTGATTCTTAAGAAGTAGTTTTGCCAAATATATTCTGTTATTACTTTTTGAGAATTTACTTTCCTGAACTGCTTAATATCTGAAAATTTAGTGCGTTCCTTGTGGTCATTCCTGATTCTCCAACAATTTGATTTTTTTTTTCTGTTTCTTTTTGTCTACTGCAAGAAAAATGCCAGTGAACCAGTCACTTAAACAGCATTTGTGATGTGGCAAACCAATTTCTGTGAATCAAAGTTAATAACAGAATGCAGTCAGTACCATCCCCAACTGTAGTCACTGGAGAAAGAGGGTAAAACAAAGGGGTAGGTAGGGTAGGACGGCATCACGTGTATGCTTTCTGCTTTGAGTAGTTTATGATTTAGGGACTGCTTCAATCAGAATGTCTGGACCATAATACTTTTGATACCTCCTTTCTCTTCGCCCTGTCCTCTCTCTCTTTTTTTTTTTTTTTTTTTTTTTAAACTTGGTTTCCAAAACATCATCATGACAATGAGATGCATGAGTTTACTGCACAAGAAAAGCTGCAGTTTTCTGTTTTTCCTAGTTGTGCTACTTGATAATTACACTGAGTGCCTTGTTACTGTGTGTGTGACAGTGAGGGCTTCCTTTTCACCTTGTGCAGAGTTTTTATGATTTCATAGACTTGTTTTTATCTCCCCTTTTATTGCTTGCTATTCTAGATAAAGTAATCCCACTAAACATCCAACTATCCTTACCACCTTTTCAGTATGTTTCCGAATTATATATACCACATCCTCTTTCAAATGGGGAGAATGAAAGTCTTACGTGCTATTTAAAAATGAAACACAGCATTACCTTGGAGATTGAGATGGAGTGTTTGGACTTTTCTGAAGACTCTGAATGTCTCTTTACTTTTTGAATTCCGTAAGCATATATTCAAAGAAAAATCCAGCCCACTTCTATGTTATTGTTCCTGAGTGCCAGTTGCTGATGAAATAGTCTTTGTGTACATGTCGGGAGTTTTCCCTGAATCCTTTGTGCATCACTTTGCAGCCGCAAGCATGCAATTTCACCTATATTTTATTTCCTACTTGCTATACTGCACTGCTTTCTGCAGAGCTTCATAGTCAGTTTATTTTTGGCAATTCTGAATAATTTCACATGAGTAAAATCTTCTGATTCCCTTCATCTTTCAGATCATTTAATTACATTGAACAGTACAAGTCCTTCTTTTCCAAAATATTCTCAAACTCACCATATATTCCTGATGTTTTCTGTCCTTAAAGACCTGAAAGAGGATGATCTAAATGCAGTAAATCAGAGCACGTGAATGTTGGAAAGCTTATCTGATTTCTGTTTCAGACTGACAATCCACTGTTGTTTGTTTGTTTGTTTTTTAACACCTCGTTGGAACTTTGCTCCACATCTACCCACCTTGCATTTACTCTGAGGAAGATGTCACTTCTGAGAAAGAACTGGGACTATTCCTTCTTTTTCTAATCTTTGGCATGCTAGGCAGCCAATAGGAGCCTCATGGTTTATAGGATCCTTGACCTAATAGTGCAGTTATGTTGGTTTTGTTTGTAGTTCCCTAAAGTTAAACAAAACCAACTTCAGTGTGCTTATATAATGGATATCTTCTCTTGCAGTCTGGCTTAATCACCTCCGTTTGAAGCATTTTTCTCATAAGTTAGATTGTGTACTAAGTAGTACTAAGACTAGTAGTTTCAGACAGGATTGTACAAAGAACCAACATATCCAATATCACATGAAAATGTGATAGGTAATTGTTAAATCATTATCTTCCATTGAAACCCAAGGATTATTAAATATCCTTCTTTCTAGTGAAGTTTTAAAGGGTTGAAGATGTATTCTACATTGAAAAAATGTAGAGACTTCTTATAAGATCAGACCTTTATATTGAAAGGCTTGAATTTACAGGACAATAATGAACTGGTCTGCAGCAGGCGCAGCACTCATATTAAATACTGCATGTATGTAAGTGTTGTTGCTTAGCAAACTGCTGAGGGTTTAATTGAGTACATGTTTTTCTTGGTTGGAAGTAATTTTCTGGTGTGAACAGAATGTCTTCTGTAGAGGTAAAGAAGAAATTGCCTTAATAGCAGGAAAATGAAGATTGTAATTCAGAAAGACCTTTTTCTTTTGTTGCCATAGGATAACAGAATTTTTTTTCTTCTGAATTCTTTGTTGAGAAGAGCTCTCTGCTGTACATGAAGGATGGTAAATGCTCCCTGTCAAAGGAAATTAAAGCATGAACTTTGAATCAGTGAGGATGCAGCTGTACTGTAGATGTGAAAATTTCTTGCACTCAACTTCACTATAAGTACAAAGTTTCCCTGTATTTGTCTTTAATTATGCATATGCAAATCTGAAAATCAGCTCTTCAGGAATTCCCAAGGGGCGTATTTTCTGCTTGGTATGATTTTAATTCCAGTTTAGTTGGTTTAGGGATTTGAATAATTTGTGAGTTGTTTCAGAATTGCTTAAGGCCTTCCAGTCCAGTTGTTGATCAGTGAACTGGTATAATGAACTTCTTTATGCAGCTTTTTTTTTTTAACACAGACACCCCTTTTTTTCTTAATTTCAGAGTTGCCAGTGTCTGACTGTGGCAATTGTGAAAATGAAACTCCTCCACCTCTGCCACCACACCCTAGTGAGGATCTGCTGAATGAGGATCATAACCATAGGTTGGAGTTCATCTATTTTTCATATTTACAGCCCTGGTTGCTAATTAATGATTGTGATAATGTGGTTCTAATCAATTTTAAAATCACTTATTTTTTTGCGAAGAGCTGTAGTATTGTTTTTACAGTCACCCAATCCTTCAGTATAAGCTGCTAACATTTTTCTGGCATTTAGTGCTTTCCTCATAAGCTGCTCTGTGCCTCCTCTTTAAGATCTGTGGGTCACCTACTGAGCATGTGGTCAGTAAAACAAAGAGAATCCCCAAAACATAAACTCAATTTAAAAAAAAAAAAAAAAAGAGTGAAGCATAGGTGCAGTGCCTAAAGTCACTTAAAGCTTTAAAAGCCCTAGCCAGATTCACTTTGTAGGAACACTAATCTTCTTACACAGCGTGTCAGCCTAAGAAATCTTCAAGCTTAGAAAATGGTTTTGCTAAGTGTGAACACTGAAATGTATAGAAAAAAATGTTAACAATGAACATTTTGCCAACTAGAAATGAGTTGGGTAAATTATTCAGATATTTTAAGAATGTCTTTTTTTGAAGCTGATGTGCTTGATGTCAGCTACAGACTTTCTTTTCCTTTGCAAGTAGTGCAGAAAGAAAGAAAAAGTGATGAGGTTCATGCTGTGACTTACACCATGACTTAAGAGCATGGAATTCTCTTGGTAGCACAGGTTACACATATTTCAGCCTATTGTACTTTCAGGAGCATTGAACACGATTTACTCGTTTTGTGTAAACATTTGAGGTATCCATGTGACTATTTTGTTTTAATGAAAAGTGGTGAGCATCCTTTCAACAAAACCTTAGCTGTACTTCTGTCCTTGTGTGTATTGATGTGGTTATAAACCAATCTTTAAATGACCAGTTGCAGGTAGTATCAGGCTACCTCAAATTCTTCCTTATCCTAACAATAATTTCATTATAGTGATTTTATAATTTCTCTTCTCGTAGGCATGTAGGGATGAAATAGTAAACAAAAAAACAACAACAAAAGACCTCTACCTGGACTAATGGAATTCTCCATTGAATTCCCAGCTGCATTTGTTTTCTGGAATCTATTGCTAATTTTTCAACAAGCTGGGAGCAAAAACATTCCCTTAAATGATGATGATGTTTTAGGAGGATGATGTATTTAAAGACCCTTTCTGCCTCCTTGACTTTTTTCCCCAGTGTTGTATTGGTTTTCCACTTGGATCATAAGCTGTGTTGAAATTGAATTTCTGTGGAAAGTCAAGCAGATTTCACTTAAAATGAATTATGGTGAAATGAACAAACCAAAAGTCCAACAACAACAAGAATGCAGGAGAAATTTTGACACTATTAAACTGTTTTGATTGAAGAGTTCAGAAATGAATGTTTTTGATTTTGGAAGTTTTTGATCACATATTAAAAGAAAAAATCTTACTTAAAAAGATGGGGAATTTTTCAGGTGTCTTTCTGTGAAGTGCTTTGACTCCTCACAGGGGAAAGTTACTTTGAGTTTCTCTCATGGAATTTTGAGATGTTCAGGTATTTGTCTACCTTGATGCAAATTCAAGTATTTAAAAACAAAAACTACACATTATCTTAAAATTCTCCAGAGAGTTATGACACCTTACATAAGGCCACCAGTCTTCACCCTCTGCCAAAGCATTCGGTGGCTGTATGCTTTTAGAACAGTTTTAGATTAACAGATGAAGAATTGGAAGGGGTACAATGGTGATATTTTCCCCAGCTTTCTGTGGCATGTTATTTGGAAATGCAGTGATAAAATGGAACTAACAGAACACGCACACACACAAAAAACACCCTAGCAAGTACTTGTATGTTCCTGCTTTCTTCTGCTTAATAAAATACGAATTGTGTAAAAGCAGCAGTTATCACTAAACATTTGCATTTGCAATGAAAAACAAGTGAGTAGAGGTGCTAAGTCTAACGAAGAAAACTTGAGGATCAATAACTGATTTTAAAATGCATGGCTGCAAGCAACTGGGAAGAAGAAACACATGTATAGTGTGCATGTTTTAATTAGATCACTTGTGTTCTGAGCTGGTGCCTAAATATTTTACATCATCTTTTTTTCTGCAGCCTTACCATAAATTCAGCAGTGTATTTAGCAGATCAGCACATCAACTTCACATCTTTGACAGCAGCCAAGCAGTCTGAATCAATTAATCTGAAAGCCTCAAAAAGCATGGATCTGGGTAAGAAGGGGTGACACATAGGTCAGCTTTTTAGCCTCGGCACATCTGCACCATCTCTGTTTCTTGCTTTTGTTTCTTAAACACAAATATCAGGGAGCAAGTTCTGCAGAGGAGCTGTGGTGATGGGGACTGTGTTCTGTCTCATGCAGCATCTTAATTACGAATACCCTTTTTTAGATACAAGAAGAAAAGTGTGTTTCTCTTTTCTTGAAAGGCCATTCTATCTACTGTATTGAAATCTTAGCTGAGGAAAAGGGAGCTTTTGTAAAAAATGAGCAGAAAGAATAACTGTACAAGTTTTATGCGTCTAAAAATATAGCAAAACAGCAATAATATAAGTTTTTTTTTCGAATGAAATATAAATGATTGCCAAACTACTATGGACAAAGGCTAACTTTCTTAAAACAAGTTGTATGTTTTTCATTGACAATGACAAACACAGGCAATCAAAGCGCTGCAGTAAATCTTTATAAATGCTTGAAGAGTGGTAAGGTTATGGTTCTCTACCCATCAAAGCTGCGCAGAAAATCTTGCAGGCTGGGTGAAACAAAGTAAATGATTCTTTCAATATTGATAAAGCATTTGTGAGTGAAAAATTGAGAGGTTATTGCAGTTGAAAACTGTATCATGTTTTGATGATAGTTCAAGGAAAAATTTGCAAGGTTCTTAAGCCGTGAAGAATCAGAAACCAAATAAGCATGCCTTTTGCCTTCTAGTTCTTTGTGGCACTAGTCCTTTATCTTCCCTTTTCAGATTAAAGTGTTGAGGGGAGTAACTCAGGGAGCTATCATTAGGGTGTGTTTAACAATAGATTTGTGTTTTGTTGGATCAGACTTTCATAGACAATATATTCTTATGTTGTATTGAGATAACTGTTTGTGATAGGTGTTTTTTTTCTTGAAATGTTCAAATTTGGTCTTAGTTTTTGTATCATTGATTCTTATTTCTTGGTACTGTAATATTATTTTAATGTACCATTAAATGTGTGCTTCTATAATGGAGTGCTAGGAACAGTTACTAACACACGGTAAGGATGATTTAGAGTGGTTTCTTAGACAAAAAACACTTCAATTTTGAAGTGCATGACCTGACCAGAAATGTGTACTTTTGCATTCTATTCCACCCTTTTGACAAAGAAGGATGCATTAGATGGATTTCTTTTTCATGTTCTCTTTTTTAATTGTTGTTTAATGTTACTGCAAGTACTGAAGAAAGAAATGAGCTTTATGTACTTCTTGTAGTCAGCACCTGGTTGCTTTTCTGTGCAGCCTACTATAGGGATCCTGCTTTAGCAGGGCAGTGAACTAGATATCTCCAGAGGTTCCTTCCAGCCCTACAATTCTGTGATTCTGGAAGGTAAAAAAAAAAAACACCCATCATGTTCAACTTTGCAGAGCCTTTTTTTGGCTCATTTACAGCTCCCACAGAAGTCATTATGAAAGAATGCTTGTAAGCAGCAATACAATATTAGGCAATGAGAATGTGCTTGAGAGCATGTTATGAACTACCAGGTAATTTGCCTTTCTTTTCCTCCAGTTCTTGTGTTCATTTATATTGTAAGATTCAAAGCAGTGTAAACAATCTGCTTTTGATAACACACGCGTGATGCTTTGAGAATGTACCTGATTTACTTAATTGTAGTGGTTTAAAAAAAAAAAAAAAAAAAGTGTGTAGATGTCCTTAGAGTCTAAAAATAATAATTGTTGCTTGTAGAAGGTAGTTATTGAAAATGCAAGTAAAACCGAAAGGGATAACGATCAATCTGGTTGGGAACACTCATGTTTTATCTTCTTCATGCGTGGTGATGTGGTAGGCTTGTGTATTCACAGTTATTTGGAGGAAGAAATATAATGCAGCTGCACATGGGAAGGTTGTTTGTATGGTTTTTTTAAGTAAATTCCTACTTTATTAAGGAAATGTGCCTGATTTTAATCATTTTGTTAAGGCTGCTAGTTGCTAGAAACATGAGAGTTTCTATCTTGTAGAAAAATGAAGCTAGGACCTCTTACAGGCATTCTTTAGTAAGTGGTGAACTACTGTGTTCAGTTTTCTATTTATAAAAGATTTTAATTGAAAGCTTTTGGCTGGAAAGGTAAGGGGAAGAGGAACATGAAAATCTGAGTTAAAGAACTGCAATATAAACACTCCTAATGCAACTAAAATTTCAGTAATTTGGTACCTAAAACTTTGCTTCCAAAGAGAACATTCATATAACGTACATTCCAAAGTGTATTTTTTGGAGAACGAAGTTCTTAGTGTAGTTTTATATTACATGTATTATTTAACTTCAGTTGTCACCCATAGTAAGTTCTCATCCCTGCTGAGTACCCGTTATTGATTTCAGTGTGATACTTGCCAGTACAGAAAAGGTGAGAAGTGCTGCTGTCTTTATCTTTTCCACCCAGAGTTGTGGGTTCTGTGAATGACTTGTTGGTATCACAGAGAAACGTTATAGCAGATTTGGTAACAAAGGATGTTTTTGCTATCTGAAAATATAACCACTAGGCCCTCTTTTTCTGGCCATCACGTGTTCTACAGTTCTACTGTTCCTTTCCAAAATAAATAATACGATGAACAGAAAAATAACAGAAATTCTAGAAGACAAGCTTTGAGACTTCACAAAATGTGACTTAAATGCAGTTTCTTTCCTTTAAAACCAAATAGCGTCTAAGCTGAATGTCACCACAGATTTGGAAAGACAATGCCTGCCTGTCCTTAAAAGTGTAAGGTTCAGAAATCACCTGGATATCTTTAGACAAAAACAACATCTAATATCTTTAGAAAAGAATTAACGTAATTTAGAGTATAAATGTGAAATCTTTACTGCTATTCACTTGGAAATCATTGCACTTTACTTTGGAATGTGCTTATAATGCATGGATTGCATAGTTATGAGATGAAAATGGTATGGATTACGTGATGGCATCATCTTAAGAAGGATCATGAAAGGCAGGTAGCAAGTTTAAACATGAGAAGCTGAGAATCCTGGCATTGCTACAGATTGCAAACCTTAAGGCAGTATACTAAATTTGTCAGATTAGGAAGGTAGTGAAATGACAAAGTAGGGATCTTCTCATTTTGATGAGGGCTGACATACGCTTAAAAGGCAAATTTGTTAAGTAAAGACCTGTCTATAATTATACAGATTCACAATACAAGCCCATTTAAATTTGATGTTCATCTTTTCAGTTGTATGTATATTAGTGACTCCAAAAATAATGCCTCCTATTTATTTCCATGGACACTACAACAGATTCGAAGAGCACAATAACATTACTTGACAGAGCAAACTCTGAGCTACGAAGTGCTATTTTTCAATAATCATCATCATTAGCTGTGCATTTTTGCCAGCAGTGAATGTGAGCCTACGTGTCATGCTTATAAAAATCTGTATGGCAGTCTGGAACACGGCTTGTCTTTTGCATCACTGTCAGCACTGCTGAAAGGCACCACCCACTGCCTCACTGTGCTCACATCCTCTGTTTGATCTCCAGAAACGATCAGCAAATGTTGATGAGTGCCAATGGGTGCCATTTGTTTTTTCCATATGGGGAAACTCCATGTCACACCTTTGCTTTGTACGTACTTCCATGTCAGATGCCCTTTTGTCAGATTGCCCCTCTGCTGATGTCTGTCAAACAACATGTTGATGTCTGCAACAAAATGTAATGGAATATTGGTGGGAAGGTTGAATTTCTATTTCCCTGCCACTATCAGTTTCCTCTGACATTATGGGCCAACATTATAGAATAGGAGGCATTATTTGTGGAGCAGTCCTTCATATGTAAAGCCCAGAAACTTTTGAGTCCCTAATCAATTTTCCAGTCGCATTTGTTTACAAAATCATAATCGTTGTAAATTAATACCCTCAGTGAAGGATATCATGAAATAAAGAGAAGAAATGTAAGAGTGCATGGTACTATTAGCACGTAGCATCATCATTCCACGTATCAAATCTTGTAATGGAAGGGGTGTGGCATGTACAGTGAGAGCTGTAAGTTAATTGTCAGTAGGAAGAAATGGTTTGGTTTGTTGCTGGATGGCATGTTTCTTGTTGTGTTGTTGATTGGAAAACTGGACAGGAGCAGAAGACATGAACCACTGCCACTTGGTTGTTCAGGCAGGGCTCGTGTGTGTGCCAGGAGGTGTATGAGCTGGCATGAATGAAAAATGGCAGTGTCTGGAGGTAGTGTGTTTGACGGTCTCTTTAACTGTAGATGAGTCAGATTTTGCTTGAATACACTTAAAAAGTCAGTAGTATGTGTGAGGTACTGTTGTAGGATATCTTAAAAAATAAAAATAATACTATGAAGCAGCTATAGCGATCGTGTGGTATTTTCTTTGGTTTTGCAGGTATGCACAGGAAAGTCTACCTAATATGTATAGATGTCTTTATACCAGGTGTATGAGGGCAGCTGAAATGTTATCGATGCATCTTGATCACTTTAGCATCCATCTTTGAGGTGGTGGTCAAAGGCTGCTTTGAATTTACTGCTTCATTCGGAATGTTAGGATACAGATTAGTTCCATCTCAGCTGCAAGTCCTAATGTGCTTCCCTGCAGCTGTGTTAAGATAATGACAGTACTTTCTGGGTTAGTGGTAGAGTTCATATCTTGTGTCCTATGGTATACTTTGCCTTGTCTATTTTTATTTTGTACTGGTGACAAAATAACACCACCACACATTTCCTTTTATTAATCATGGCACTTGAAAAATGTCCACTTGGTTGTGTGATTTCTTATGGATGACAGTGCTTGAATATATTAGCAGGAAAAAGAAGTGTCCTTTTACCATGATTTCAAGAATTTGTGCAGACCAGCCAATGTCTGACTTGGATTGCTTACTTGTACTGATTAGATTTAGACTGCTTGCCAAGCCTGGACCTGTGCTTATGATGCCATGTTAAAAACTAGTGAAACAAATTCAGAAATGCTGGAAATAAATTTGGTGTTGTGCCTTCCCACTTCTTAAGTAAGTCATACTTTTTTTAATTGCAGAT